TCACATTAACCTCTTGCCGACCGCGCATAGCCGAATGACGGCTTCACCGCGGCCGGCCAGTTCTGAGTGGACGTCATATGATGTCCTCCCAGAACGCGCTCTCCTGCGCGCCCCCGGCGATCTCCGTGATCGCTGTGTCCTACGGACACAGCTGATCACGTGATGTGGTGAAAGGCCGATCCCACCGGCCTTTTACCACGTGATCAGCGGTGTCCAATGACACGCTGATCACAGGGAAAGGCAAGTGCCGGTTCTCGGCTGCACTTTCCTCACGCTGTCAGATCGTGAGGAAAGTACTGCCGAGAACCGGCAGTTGTCAGAGCGGGGATCGGCACCGATCATCAGGGCACTGATGATCAGTGCCCTGATGATCGGTGCCCAGCAGTGACACCCGCAAGTTCTGCCCAGCAGTGCGCCCACTAGCCCCGCCCACCCGTTCCCAGCAGTGCCCCCACCTGTGCCCAGCAGTGCCCCCACCTGTGCCCAGCAGTGCACCCACCTGTGCCACTCTGCAGTGCCACCTACCTGTGCCCAGAAGTGCCACCTACATGTGCCCAGCAGTGCCACCCACCTGTGCCCACCCACCTGTGCCCACCTGTGCCACCCACCTGTGCCCACCCACCAGTGCTGCCCACCAGTGCAGCCCAGCAGTGCTGCCAGTCAGTGCCACCAGTCAGTGCCCAGGGGTTGTGCCAGTCAGTGCCAGTCAGTGCCCAGAAGTGATGCCAGTCAGTGCCGTCTTTCAGTACCCATCATCAGTGTCACCTATCAGTGCCGCCTATCAGTGCTGCATATCAGTGCCGCCTATCAGTGCCGCCTATCCGTGACCCCTAATTAGTGCTGTCTATCAGTGCCGCCTATCCGTGCCACCTCATTAGTACTGCCTATCAGTGCCCTTTAGTGCTGCCTATCAGTGCCGCCTATCAGTGCCCATCAGTGCCGCCTCATCAACGCAAATCAGTGAAGGAGAAAAAATACCTGTTTGAAAAATTTTATAAAAGAAACAAATAAACTTTTTTTTTTTTTTCAAATTTTTTGCACTTTTTTAATTTATAGCGCAAAAAGTAAAGCGCCCAGTGGCGATTAAATACCACCAAAGCTCTATTTGTGAGAAAAAAATGATCAAAATTTCATATGGGTACAATGTTGCATGACCGCGCAATTGTCAATCAAAGTGTGGCAGCGCTGAAAGCTGAAAATTGGCTTGGTAAGGAAGGGGGTATAAGTGCCTGGTAGGCAAGTGGTTAAAGGTAGTTCAGATCAACGGCAGTTGCTCAGCTCAACAGCAGTTCAGCTCAACGCCACTTCAGATTAAAGGCAGTTCAGATTAAAGGCTGTCCTGCTTGAAGGATCCTCTGGTAGCTCGGTGTGTTTGCTGGCTGAGCTGCCTTTCAAGAGCAAGGCGGAGCACAGCTGCTTGCTTGGTGGGTCTGTCCACGCATTACAATTGTGAGGGACTAATGGCGACCCTAGGAAAATAAACAGGGTGCATATAAGATACCACAGTCAAAACTGGGAGGGCACTGATAATTTTCACCACTACCATCATTTTGCCCCAGAGCGCAGCACAAAAAAATGTAATTTACCTTAAGCTGGCGGGTGTAGTGATGTGCAACGTTGGCAGGTCTCTCTTTCACGTGTCCCCCACGCCGGTGTAGAGCAAGCCTCTCCTCGTGTCCCCCAAGGCGCTGTAGAGCGGGCCTCGTGTCCCCCAAGGCGGTGGAGAGGGGGCTCGTGTCGGTGGAGAGGGGGCCTGTCCCCCACGGCGGTGGAGAGCGGGCCTCGTGTCCCCCACGGCGGTGGAGAGCGGGCCTCGTGTCCCCCGCGGCGGTGGAGAGCGGGCGGGCTTCGTGTCCCCCGCGGCGGTGGAGAGCGGGCCTCGTGTCCCCCACGGCGGTGGAGAGCGGGCTTCGTGTGCCCCCGCGGCGGTGGAGAGCAGGCCTCTCCTCAAGTCCCCTGCAGTGGTGGAGAGGGTGTCTCCTCTCAGCGGAGAGCGGATCTCCTCTGCACCTATCCCCTCAGCGGCGCTGCCAGTGTAATGGCGGTGCCGCAGAAGCCAGAAACTGGAAGTTGTAAACCGGAACTCGGTTTCACAATGAGGCTTGGAGCTAGGGGCGGACTGACCATTTTGAAACTCGGGCACTGCCCAAGGGCCCGGGGTCAGTAGGGGGCCCCATGAGATGCCTCTGGTACCTTTTTCATAGGCTTTTTTGAGTTTGGGCAAGGACACAGGGGCCCCATGATCTCCTATTGCCCGGGGGCCCCATGAGTTGTCAATCCGCCCCTGCTTGGAGCGCAGGAGCAGCTGCTCCATGCATCATCTGTGCTCGCCAAACAGGAATTTCTCCTCGCATTTGGCGAGCGGCTTTTTCAAGCCCTGATCTAACAGCAAATTTTCTAGTTTTAGCTAGAATAGAGAATGGTTAAAACCTTATGAGGCTTTTTTGCTGTCCACATACTATTGGAAATGGTCCAAATTGAGGGGATATCTCCTCCAGGACAGTGATGCTAAAGCAGTTCTAAATGCAAAAGGTTTTATTCTAAAGCATTCTCTGCATTAAAGTAAAAAAAAACCTAATACCAGTCCCCCCCGATTTCAAAACACTTACCTCTCTCAATCTGGCGTTGTCCTGTCAAGTTCTCTCTTACCTAATACACAGGAGTCTCCAAGATCAGTGGGAGCCATAGGCTCCTGCTGCTGTCAGTCAAATCCTGTGGAGAGGGAGCAGGTATCGTGGTCATCATGTCTATGGATTCACAGAATCCAGCTCAGGAACACACCCACATGAGTGCCCCCTCACATGTCAGCTTGCTGCGGTGGCACTCAGAGAAGAGGAGAAGCTGAAAGCACTGGCAGGGGGACTCCAAAAGAGGAGGTAGGGACTGCTCTGTGCTATAAAATTGAACACAGCACAGAAGTATAACATGTTTATTATTTTAATGAAAAAATAAGCTTTACATCCCCTTTAAACTGTAAAAGTTTGGATTTCACATCACAGACTACACCAGGGTTTGCAATTCTTCAGAATGTACCAAATGCCCAGTATATTGTAAATACCAACTACTGATCCTGCTTGCGCACTTTAAAAATAAAAAATATTAATAAAAGTTGCCTTAAAAACTTGATTTATTGTAATCATATGTAGGCTAACAAATTACATCAGTATTGGAGTGGATTTTTAAAGTTTCAATTATCACTCATGGCTAGAAAACGTTGGCATGGGAAAAAATACTATTTAGAGTAAACCTAGTATGAGAAAAAAATACTGCCATTGCCAACCTTCTTCTGAAAATCATGCATACAATATGAAAATAGTGATCCCTGCACTCTCCGACCTGGTTCATTCATCACAATTATATTTCATATTTCACATACAAAAAAAGCAGATTAAAGATTCCCAATACCAAGATTGTTTCTTGTGTATAAACGTGTTTTCTCAAGGTAGTTACCTTAAAGTACATTTATACATGGAAAAAGATAAATGCTATTGGCATTCTTATCTGTGCGTTTCTGTTAAATAAAATTGTAGCAAATGAGGTCGGAAAGTGAAGGAGCCTCTTTTTCTTCATACTGAATACAGCAGTTAAAAGTCAGAACAGTGAACCTGGGGAGTCCTTTAACCTCTTTCCCCCCTCCCTATAGCAGAAATACTGCTACAGGGTGGCAGGGCTGTGCAAAGTCAAGTATATATATGTGTTTTGTATCTCTGGGTAGAGGGCGCCATTGGTGGCTACGGATGTCAATCAACGGGTCCCGGATGGAGATCCCCACCAGCACCTCGTGATCAGTAACACTGACAGGGGAGAGACCTTTGTGTTAACAACACAGGTCTCTCTCCTGCCAGCAAGAATATGCTGCTGTGCATTTCTCTGCACAACAGAGAAATACACAGCAGCATGTTTCCCTAGTAAAACACACAGCACGTTATGTAAAACAGCACACAGTTAACCCTTTTTTTTTGCCCCAGATGTTAACCCTTTCCTGCCCAGTGTCATTAGCACAGTGTCAGTGCTTTTTATTAGCACTGATCACTGTATTAGTGTCATTGGGATCTTAGTGGCAGTTAGTTACCACCCAGTGTTAGAATGCCCACCGCAGTCCTGCTATAAGTCGCTGATCACCACCATTACTAGTGTAAAAAAATAAACATTCCAGTATATATACCGCCATTTGCAGATGCTATGACTTTCACGTAAACCAATTAATTTACATGTATTGAGATTCTGTTTTTGCAAAGACGTAGCAGAATAAATTTTGGCCTAAATTTATGACTAAATTTTATTTTTTAAATTTTTTTTACTGGATATGTTTTATAGTAAAAAGTCAAAAAGTGTTATTTTTCAAAATTGTCAGGCCTTTTTTGTTTATAGTGCAAAAAATAAAAACCGCAGAGCTGATCAAATACCACCGAAAGAAAGCTCTATTTGTGGGAAAAAAGGACAAACTTAATTTGGGTGCGGTGTTGCATGACCACGCACTTGTCAGTTAGAGTAACGCAGTGGCGCATTGCAAGAAAATGGCCTGGTCAGGAGGGGGGGGGGGGGAGGGAATAAATCCTCTGGAGGGCAAGTAGCTAAGGAAAATAAATAACGGTCTCTTTAAGACCATGAAAACAAACAGTCTAACGCATAGCATGATCTCCAAGACTGCAAATAGTGTAGAGAGATTTCATTCTCTTTATGAACTTGTCTCCTTTTGAAAATGCTAGTTGCCTGAATGCTATGTTGACCTTTAGACTTCAATACTTTGAGCAACCATATGAGGACTCAGGAACAAGCATTCAGATCAGGAATGTAAGAGAAAAACTACCTTTTTTTCAGATGGAGTTGGCAAATTGTGGCTTTCATGCTTCCCTTGTGACAGGTTTCCTTTAGATAACAAAGAGAATGACCCAACTGACACCTATTAGACACATTAACATGTAAAGCTAGAGAGGTTTATTTACCATTGCTTCCATTAATTAAAATATGTATAAAAGTAAACAAAAAATGTTTAGTTTTCAGCACACTGAAGGAAAGACAGATTGAAAAACAGATATAACTGGATCTTCATGGTTTGTCACTACCAACACACTCCGAAATTTATCAAACAGCATCAAAAGTTGTGAGCGTCGCATGTTCTCATTGTACATGATCTCCTCAAGATGATGCCGGCCTCGAAAATAGTGTAATAACCTAGAATGTTAAATTAGAAAAAATTAAAATGCAAATATACTCATTTTGAATACTGAAGTTGTCTAAAATTACAAAATACCTTAAAAAGAATAAATATGTTTTTTGTGCAGCCATTTTTTCTTTTTTAATATTTTGGACCTAAATTATGTCATAATTCAGCACCATTTGTCCAGGCTGAATGATGCCCGCTATCAATCACCCAACCTCCTGTGAACCCATGCCTTCATGGACCTGCCCACTGTGGGCATGTTGTCACAATGGTCTGGAAGAATTTGGTGATGCAACTTCATTATGTGGTACCAGTCAGACCATCCTGCCCCCTCCACTGAAGGAAGAGGACTTCAAAGTCACATGACCAGACAGAAGACTACTGGAGAAAAACAAGGCATGTGTATTATTTTCCAAATATAAACTGTGCAAGCAAGCTGTAGTTGAAAGGTTAAAAGGTAAACTTTGTTAGGGATTCATGAGACAGGCCTTTGATCTCTTAATGGGTGTTTTTACTTCCTGCTAAAAGTCACTTAATGTAAATTATAAGACATTTTTTTTTTTTAAATTTAGATTACACACACACACACACACACACACACACACACACACACACACACACACACAGCGGGTAAAATAAGTATTGAACACATCACCATTTTTCTCAGTATATATATGTCTAAAGGTGCCATTGACATGAAATTTACTCCACATGTCGGTACCAACCCATGCAATCCATATATACAAAGAAACCAAAACAAATAAGTTCAGAAATTATGTTATGTGTAATAAAATGGATTGACACAGGGCAAAAGTATTGAGCACACTAACTGAAATTCACTTAATACTTCGTACAAATTCTTTGTTGGTAACGATAGCTTCAAGTCACCTCCTGTATGGAGAAACTAGTCGCATGCATTGCTCAGGTGTGATTTTGGCTCATTCTTCCACACAGTCTTCAAATCTTGAAGGTCCTGTGGGCCTCTTCTATGAACTCTGACCTTTAGTTCTTTCCATAGATTTTCTATTGGATTCAAGTCAAGAGATTGGCTGGACCATTCTAGCAGCTTTATTTTCTCTTTCTTTAAAATCTATTGAAAGCATCTAAAGAGTTCAATTTTAGTCTCATCTGACCAACTATATTCTGCCAGAATTTCACAGGCTTGTCTAAATGTTGTGCAGCAAACTGTAAAAACTGCTTCAACATACTTCTTTCTTCAGCAATGGATTCTTGTGTGGTGAGCTTTTCTTTGAAACAATTGTACCTGCTAATTCTGTCTCTCTCCAAAAGTGGCCCTTGGCTCTTCTGATAATTCAGCGCACCTGGTCGTGGCTGGTTTGTAGTGAAATGATGTTCTTTCCACTACCGGATTATAGCCCCAACAGTGCTCACTGGAACATTCAAAAGTTTAGAAATCCTTCTATAACCAATGCCATCAGTATGATTTGCAATAATAAGGTTGCGAAGGTCTTGAGAGAGATGTTTCTTGTGTGACACCTTAGTAATGAGACACTTTTTTATAGGCCATCAGTTGAGACTGAACCATCTGATATTAATGTGCACTGACAAGGGTCAGGATTGCTTTCTAATTACTGATAGATTTCAGCTAGTGTCTTGGCTTGCCTCGTCTCCCCTTTCTTCAGGTGGTCAATACTTTTTCCATTTCATTCCATTTTATTACACATAACTTAATTTCTGACTGTATTTGTTTTCTTTGTATCTATGGATTGCATGTGTTGTTACCGACTTGTGGAAACTTCATGTCAAAAGCACCTAGAGAAAAATAGTGACGTGTTCAATACTTATTTTGCCCGAAAAAAAAAAAAAAATATATGCGCACACATACACACGAAGTTAGGCCCATATATATATTTGGACAAAGGCACAGTTTTCATACTTTTGGCTCTATATGCAACCAAACTAAATTAAAATGAAACAATACAAATGAATTTGAAGTGCAGACTTTTAGCTTTAATTCAAGGGGTTGAACATAAATTACAAGTACAAATTTTAGGAACTGCAACCATTTTTATACACAATCCCTCAAATGTAATTGCACAAATGAATATAATCATAAATAAAATGTTAATTTTTTATATTTTGTTGAGAATCCTTTACTGGCAATGACGGCCTGAAGTCTGGAACCCATGGGCATTACCAAAGACTGGGTTTCCTCATTTCTGATGCTTTGCCAGGCTCTAACTGCAGCTGTCTTCAGTTGTTCTTTGTTTGTGGGCCTTTGTGCCTTTAGTTTTGCCTTCAGCAAGTGAAATGCATGCACAATTGGGTTGAGATCAGGTGATTGACCCAGCCATTGCAGAATATTACACTTTTCCTGCAAAAGCTCCTGGGTTGCTTTTGCAGTGTGTTTTGGATGATTGTCCATCAGTACTGTGAAGTGCCGTCCAATCAGCTTGCATTTGGCTGAATCTGGGCTGACAATATATCTCTAAAAACATTGTAGAATTCATCCAGCTGCTTCTGTTTTTTGTCACATCATCAATAAACACCAATGACCCAGTTCCACTGGAAGCCATGCATGCCCATGCCACCACACTGCCTCCACCATGTATTACAGATGACGTTGTGTGCTTTGGATCATGACCTTTTCCAAGCCTTCTCCACACTTTTTTCTTCCCGTCTTTCTGGTACAGATTAATCTTAGTTACATCTGTCCAAAGAATGCTTTTCCAGAACTGGTCTGGCTTTTTTAAATGTTTTTTGGCAAGGTCTAATCTGGTTTTTCCATTCTTCAGGCTTATGAATGGTTTGCACTTTGTGGTGAACCCTCTGTATTTGCTCTCCTGAAGTCTTCTCTTGATTGTAGACTTTGACAATGATACACCCACCTCCTGGAGAGTGTCCTTCACTTGTCTGGATGTTGTGAATGGGTTTTTCTTTACCATAGAGAGGATCCTGAGATCATCCACCACCTTCTGTGGACGGCCATGCCTTTTTATGTTGCTGAGCTCAGCAGTGCGTTCTTCTTTCCTCAGAATGTACCAAACTGTTGATTTGGCCACTCCTAATGTTGCTGCTATCTCTCTGATGGATTTTTTCATTTTTGAAGCCTTACAATGGCCTGTTTCACTTGCATGGACAGCTCCTTTGAATGCATAATGTAGGTTCACAGCAATAGATTCCAAATGCAAATTCCACACTTAGAATTAACTCCAGAACTTTTACCTGCTTAAAAGGGGTAGCCCGCACCTGGCCATGAAACAGTTTTTGATTTAATTGTCCAATTACTTTTGGTCCCTTGAAAAAGGGGAGATGACTACTCTTAAGAGCTGTAATTCCTAAACCCTTCCTCTAAATTGGATGTGTATACCCTCTTAAACCTGAGTGTGCGTACTTTCAGCCCATATCCATGATAAAACTATAGCTTGAATATGTTTTGGTAAATACCTGAAAAAAACTAAAATTGTGCCTGTGTCCAAATATATATGGTCCTAACATATATATACATACACACATATATACACACACACATATATATATATATCTACATATATATATATATATATATACACACACACACACACACATATATATATATATATATATATACACACATATACACACACACACACATATATATATATATATATATATATATATATATATATATATATACACACACACACTGCTCCAAAAAATATTAAAGGAACACTTTTTAATCAGAGTATAGCATCAATTAAACTCCTGGGATATTGATCTGGTCGGTTAAGTAGCAGAGGGGGGTTGGTAAGCAGTTTCAGCTGCTTTGGTGTTAATTAAAATAACAACAGAAGCACTAAACTGGCAACAAGGAGACGACCCCCAAAACAGGAATGGTTTTACAGGTGGCAGCTGCTGACAGTTTTTTCCCTACTCATTTTTACTGACTGTTTGTCACTAGTTTTGCATTTGGCTAGGGTCAGTGTCACTACTGGTAGCATGAGGCGATACCTGGACCCTACAGAGGTTGCCCAGGAAAGTCCAAACTCCTCCAGGATGGCACATCAATACGTACCATTGCCAGAAGGTTTGCGGTGTCTCCCAGCACAGTCTCAAGAGCATGAAGGAGATTCCAGGACACAGGCAGTTACTCTAGGAGAGCTGGACAGGGCCATAGAAGGTTCTTAACCCATCAGCAGAACCGGTATCTTTTCCTTTGTGCAAGGAGGAACAGAATGAGCACTGTCAAAGCACTACAAAATGACCTCCAGCAGTCCACTGGTGCAAATGTCTCTGTCCAAACAATCAGAAACAGACTTCATATGGTGAGAGTATGCAGGCAGTTCCTGGAGGATGAAGGAATTGATGCCACTGAATGGCCCCCACGCTCGCCTGACCTAAATCCAATAGAACACCTCTGGGATATCATGTTTCGGTCCATCCGATGACGCCAGGTTGCAACTCAGACTGTCCAGGAGCTCAGTGATGCCCTGGTCCAGATCTGGGAGGAAATACCCCAAGGCACCATCCTTCATCTCATTAGGAGCATGCCCTGATATGGTTAGGTATGCATACAAGCATGTGGGGGGACCATACAAACTACTGAGTACCATTTTGAGTTGCTGCAATGAAATTTCAGCAAAATGGACTAGCTTGCTGCATCATTTTTTCACTTTCAGTCCTCTGTAGGCTGATAATTTTCATTTCCATCAAACGATGGGGCATCCTTATGTTCCTAACACATTACCCAGTCCATATCAGTACAGATATCCAGCATGATATTTTTTCTCATTGAGATCTGATGTGTTTTCAAAGTGCTCCTTTTTTTTGAGCAGAGTGTGTGTGTACATTTTTGTAAATATTTTATTCTATCTTTTCATGTGACAACACTGAAGAAATGACACTTTGCTACAATGTAAAGTAGTGAGTGTACAGCTTGTATAACAGTGTAAATTTGCTGTCCCCTCAAAATAACTCCTCACACAGCCATTAATGTCTAAACTGCTGGCAACAAAAGTGAGTACACACCCCTAAGTGAAAATGTCCAAATTGGGCCCAAAGTGTCAATATTTTGTGTGGCCACCATTATTTTCCAGCACTGCCTTAACCCTCTTGGGCATGGAGTTCACCAGAGCTTCACAGGTTGCCACTGGAGTCCTCTTCCACTCTTCCATGACGACATCACGGATCTGGTGGATGTTAGAGATCTTGAGTTCCACCACAGTTGTTTTCCGTGGTCTTCCGGGTCTTTTGGTGTTGCTGAGCTCACCGGTGCGTTCCTTCTTTTTAAGAATGTTCCAAACAGTTTGGCCACACCTATTGTTTTTGATATCTCTCTGATGGGTTTGTTTTGTTTTTTCAGCCTAATGATGGCTTGCTTCACTGATAGTGACAGCTCTTTGGATCTCATCTTGAGAGTTGACAGCAACAGATTCCAAATGCAAATAGCACACTTGAAATGAACTCTGGACCTTTTATCTGCTCATTGTAATTGGGATAATGAGGGAATAAACACACACCTGGCCATGGCACAGCTGAGAAGCCAATTGTCCCATTACGTTTGGTCCCTTAACAAGTGGGAGGCACATATGCAAACTGTTGTAATTCCTACACCGTTCACCTGATTTGGATGTAAATACCCTCAAATTAAAGCTGACAGTGTGCAGTTAAAGCACATCTTGTTCGTTTCATTTCAAATCCATTGTGGTGGTGTATAGGGCCAAAAATGTTAGAATTGTGTCGATGTCCCAATATTTATGGACCTGACTGTATATACAGTGGGGCAAAAAAGTATTTAGTCAGCCACCAATTGTTCAAGTTCTCCCACTTAAAAAGATGAGAGAGGCCTGTAATTGGCATCATAGGTAGACCTCAACTATGAGAGACAAAATGAGAAAAAAAAATCCAGACAATCACATTGGCTGATTTGGAAAGAATTTATTTGCAAATTATGGTGGAAAATAATTATTTGGTCACCTACAAACAAGCAAGATTTTTGGCTCTCACAGACTGTACCTTCTTCTTTAAGAGGCTCCTCTGTCCTGCACTCATTACCTGTATCAATGGCACCTGTTTGAGGTTGTGGACAGGTGTCTTTTATACTGATAACAAGTTCAAACAGTCACACTCCAAACTCCACTATGGTGAAGACCAAAGAGCTGTCGAAGGACACCAGAAACAAAATTGTAGACCTGCACCAGGCTGGGAAGACTGAATCTGCAATAGGCAAGCAGCTTGGTGTGAACAAATCAACTGTGGGAGCAATAAGAAATTGGAAGACATACAAGACCACTGATAATCTCCCTCGATCTGGGGCTCCATGCAAGATCTCACCCCGTGAGGTCAAAATGATCACAAGAACGGTGAGCAAAAATCCCAGGACCACACGGGGGACCTAGTGAATGACCTGCAGACAGCTGGGACCAACGTAACAAAGGCTACCATCAGTAACACACTATGCCGCCAGGGACTCAGATCCTGCAGTGCCAGACGTGTCCCCTGCTTAAGCCAGTACATGTCCGGGCCCGTCTGAAGTTTGCTAGAGAGCATTTGGATAATCCAGAAGAGGATTGGGAGAATGTCATATGGTCAGATGAAACCAAAATAGAACTGTTTGGTAGAAACACAAACTCATCGTGTTTGGAGGAGAGAGAATGCTGAGTTGCATCCAAAGAACACCATACCTACTGTGAAGCATGGGGGTGGCAACATCATGCTTTGGGGCTGTTTCTCTGCAAAGGGACCAGGACGACTGATCCATGTACAGGACAGAATGAATGGGGCCATGTATCATGAGATCTTGAGTGCAAACCTCCTTCCATCAGCAAGGGCATTGAAGATGAAACGTGGCTGGGTCTTCCAACATGACAATGATCCCAAACATACCGCCCGGGCAACGAAGGAGTGGCTTCGTAAGAAGCATTTCAAGGTCCTGGAGTGGCCTAGCCAGTCTCCAGATCTCAACCCCATAGAAAACTTTTGGAGGGAGTTGAAAGTCCGTGTTGCCCAGCGACAGCCCCAAAATATCACTGCTCTAGAGGAGATCTGCATGGAGAAATGGGCCAACATACCAGCAACAGTGTGTGCCAACCTTGTGAAGACTTACAGGAAACATTTGACCTCTGTCATTGCCAACAAAGGATATATAACAAAGTATTGAGATGAACTTTTGATAATGACCAAATACTTATTTTCCACCATAATTTGCAAATAAATTATTTCCAAATCAGCCAATGTCTGGATTTTTTTTCTCATTTTGTCTCTCATAGATGAGGATTACCTATGATGCCAATTACAGGCCTCTTCATCTTTTTAAGTGGGAGAACTTGCACAATTGGTGGCTGACTAAATACTTTTTTGCCCCACTGTATACACACATACATATACACACATACATCCCTTCTCCGACTTATTCAGATTCTGCTATTCATGTCTGTCACAATAACCCAGCTATCTAAAACCTTGAAGTATGAGGACTCTCCCCCTGCTGGTTGCAAGAGTAAATATAAAAAGCTGTATTTATAGGCAATAACATGGAAAATGCTATACATTCCCTCAACTCTCCAACTGTAAACCTATCACCATACACATCAACTTTACCTTGCAAACATTTTAAGGTCCTCTGGATTTTGAGCAGCAGGGACACCGAGAATGGCTTCTCTCTCATTCTGAGACAAACTTGCAAGAAGATTCTCTGTGGCTCTCTTGTTGATTGGAGAGTCTCCTCCTGGCAGCAGCTCAGCACTGGAGTTGTCCATGCTTGGACTGGTCAGAGTCATGTCATCACTACTGGCTGGTGGGGAATATTAAAGTACTAATGTTTAATACATTTTCATTGTACATTCTAAAATAAAGTAAATGCAATATACTATTATTGTTTATAAAATCCAAGGCGTAGGGTGACAGCTTTGAGAGAGAGCAACACAACGGCTTTGAAGGAAGAACTCCTTCCTGGGATGCCCAACATATTCTACTCAAAATTGAATTTTCAACTTTGGAAAGCTATACCTCAAATATATTACACTTATTTGAACCATGCAAATGTTATTCCTCTAAGAAGGGTTTATGAAGAACCAAAAACTCAAATTTTTTTTACAGATCTTGGATTTCACAAAATCAACGTTTTACTACATGAAAGACCAGATTTTTAGTTTTTCATAAAACTTTGAGATGAGTATTTTACCTAGGATTGAGATTATATTATATTAGACAAAGTCCCTAAATTTATCAGATGTACTCTGCTCTGAGGCTCCAGTTACAGTGTATCCAAACCCAAGAGAAGCAATGTAATATATACTGCAGCTAACAATTTCTTTGGTGACTGCATTAGTTCTCCTTTTGCAGAATTATTTTCTTAATTTTTACCTGGGGATCCTCCCAGTGACAAATATCCTGTTCTAGAGTGACAACACTCATTGGGGTTTATTACTAAAGGTAAATATATGGTGCACTGCAAGTGCAGTTGCTTTAGATCCAAGGGGAAGCTCAGAAATGAGGTGAAGCTCTGCTGATTTATTTCATCCAATTGTGCAAGCAAAAATGCTGTTTTTTTATTTTCATTGTATGTTCCCCTCAGATCTAGAGCAACTGCACATTCAGTGCACTATGCAGTGCACAGCCTATTTGCCTGTAGAAAATCAACCACATTGTATTGAATTTTTTGAAGGAGCATAGCCACCCTAAAATAGAAAATATGCTAGGACTACAGAGAACATCCCTCCTATCTTATGGAGAAGATGAAAGGGGGAGGAGTTGTCCTAATTCCTATCCTAAGGGGACAATACAGTGACTCCAAGAATTCAGTACAATGGGGGACATTTATCATTTTTGTTGCACCTCGTTTCCATCATTCTGACGCAAAGCACCATTCAATCCCAAATTGTGACGGATTTACTATTTTGGTGTAAATTCTTTACATGAATCAGTCACAGAAAAAACAACTGTCAGAATAGTGTGCAGGGTAAAGCAAACTGTTCCATCCGTATCTGCTTTTATGACTGTGCCATTCATTAAGTAAAATAACAGCGGTATGTACCGTACCTTCCATGGAATAGTGTGTAAACTAACTAAAAATAAGTTGCAGGACTACAGGTCCCAGTGCACCTACATGCACTTTGCTCAGAACACAGGATTGATTTGAATGTGTTTCTTAATAAGCAACAGCTGTGCTCTTTACCTTGTTGAAACTAGTGTCTTTATTGGTTATAGTTATTTAATTTTATGCAAGTGCTACTACTGATTATAATTTACTATGCTTTGAGCTGGATGTAAAATTGAAAATTTGGGTATATATAGCAAATTGTGACTATTCATTTCCAAGACTGTGCAGTTGTGAGTTAGGGAAAGGAAAGGAGTGGCTTGACTAGGGGGAAGACCAGATTGAAAGAAAAACTGTCACATGGCTAGGAAAGTAGAATCAGCTTAATTTACCAATAAAAAATAACTTACTGAAAAAAAAAATTAACAGATTAGTTTATCACTTTTCAAAACATTTACAACAGATTGACATCGGCAGATGTCGATCTAATTTATTGCTAATTATTGCTAATTTAATCTAATTTATTGCTCTATTCTCAATACTGTTGCAAACTCAAAAATGATGCAATGCAGAGGAAAATAGAGCACAAGTAAATCTGGTCAGTGTAGCAGAACTGCACAGAGACTGGAAATGTGACATCTTCTGAACAGTCACTATTGTTTCATAATTTCCATTTGAGTACACTGTCACTAGGAATGAGCCCAGGGGAGGTTTGCTTCCCGGAGGGATAGCTCAGATTCAGACTCGTATCCGAACACATCTGCGTTCATCACTGATTGTCACCCTAGAACAGGAAGTATGTTACTGTCAGGATCACCAGATAAAAAATTAATGCAATCATCACATTGTTTGTTCTTGGGTTTAGATATACTTTAGCACTCCTCACTGTGCCATTACAAAGCTAAATTACAAGATGAAGTAGCACATAGATAACCATGAAAGCCTCTCAATGCTGGGTCTTCCCAATGTGTGGGAGCCCCTTCCGTCATGGGGTTCTATCCTCTTGCTGATATTATCTATATATATAATATATATATATATATATATATATATATATACACACACACACACAGTTGTGTTCAAAATAATAGCAGTGTGTTGAAAAAAGTGAATAAAGCTCAAAATCCTTCTAATAGCTTTTATTTCCATACCCACAAATGCATTGGGAACACTACACATTCTATTCCAAATCAAAACGAAGAAAAATATATAAAATTTGTGTTGTTCCTCTAAACAAATTGAAGAAACGTGAATATTAGACTGTTAAAAAAAAGAGCAGTGTTTGTATTCTTCTTTACAAACTCAAACATTCACTATATAAACTGAAAAATGTTTGAAGATTTTGCTTTCCTTTGAATCACTTAATATTTAGTTGTATAAGCACTGTTTCTGAGAACTGCTGTACATCTGTGTTGCATGGAGTCAACCAACATCTGCCACCTGTGAACAGGTATTCCAGCCCAGGATGATTGGACTACATTCCACAGTTCTTATCGATTTCTTAGTTTTGTCTCAGAAACTGCATTTTTGATGTCACCCCACAAGTTTTCTATTGGATTAAGATCCGGGGATTGGGCTGGCCACTCCATAACGTCAATTTTGTTGGTCTGGAACCAAGATGTTGCATGTTTACTGGTGTGTTTAGGGTTGTTGTCTTGTTGGAACACCCATTTCAAGGGCATTTCCTCTTCAGCATAAGGCAGCATGACCTCTTCAAGTATTCTGATGTATTCAAACTGATCCATGATCCCTGGTATGCGATAAATAGGCCCAACACCGTAGTATGAGAAACATCCCCATATCATGATGCTTGCGCAACCATGCTTCATTGTCTTCACAGTGTACTGTGGCTTGAATTCAGTGTTTGGGGGTCATCTGACAAACTGTCTTCGGCCACTAGACCCAAAAAGAACAATCTTACTTTCATCAGTCCACAAAATGTTGCGCCATTTCTCTTTAGGCCAGTCAATGTGCTCTTTGGCAAATTGTAACCTCTTCAGCATATCTTTTTTTCAACAGTGGGACTTTGCGGGGGCTTCTTGCAGATAGCTTGGCTTCACATAGGCGTCTTCTAATTGTAACAGTACTCACAGGTAACTTTAGACCTTCTTTGATCTTCCTAGAGCTGATTGTTGGCGGAGTTCTTGCCATTTTGGCTATTCTTCTATCCATTCAAATGGTAGTTTTTCGCTTTCTTCCACGTCTTTCAGGTTTTGGTTGCCATTTTAAAGCATTTGCGATCATTTTAGCTGAGCAGCCTATCATTTTCTGCACTTTTTTTTTATATGTTTTCCCCTCTCCAATCAACTTTTTAACTTGTTGCCGACCACAGATAGCCAAATGACGGCTGCACTGCGGCCGGCCAGTTCTGAGTGGACGTCATATGACGTCCCCCCAGAACGCGCTCTCCTGCGCGCCCCAGGGGGCGCGCACCCGGCGATCTCCGTGATCGCTGTGTCCTACGGACACAGCTGATCACGTGATGTGGTAAAAGGCCAATCACAGTGGCCTTTTACCACCTGATCAGCGGTGTCCAATGACACGCTGATCAGAGGGAAATGCAAGTGCCGGTTCTCGGCTGCACTTTCCTCACGCTGTCAGATCGTGAAGAAAGTACTGCCGAGAACCGGCAGTTGTCACAGCGGGGATCGGCACCGATCATCAGGGCACTGATGATCAGTGCCCTGATGATCGGTGCCCAGCAGTGCCACTCGCAAGTTCCGCCCACCTGTGCCCAGCAGTGCGCCCACTAGCTCCGCCCACCTGTGCCCAGCAGATCACCCACCTGTGCCCAGCAGTGCACCCACCTGTGCCACTCTGCAATGTCACACACCTGTGCCCAGAAGTGCCACCTACCTGTGCCCAGAAGTGCCACCCACCTGTGCCCACCCACCTGTGCCCACCAGTGCCACCCACCTGTGCCCACCAGTGCCACCCACCTGTGCCCACCCACCAGTGCCGCCCACCAGTGCCACCCACCAGTGCAGCCCAGCAGTGCTGCCAGTCAGTGCCGCCAGTCAGTGCCCAGCGGTTGTGCCAGTCAGTGCCCAGCAGTGATGCCAGTCAGTGCCGTCTATCAGTACCCATCATCAGTGTCACCTATCAGTGCCGCCTATCAGTGCTGCATATTAGTGCTGCCTATCCGTGACACCTCATTAGTGCTGTCTATCAGTGCCGCCTATCCGTGCCACCTCATTAGTACTGCCTATCAGTGCCCTTTAGTGCTGCCTATCAGTGCCCATCAGTGCCACCTATCAGTGCCCATCAGTGCTGCCTCATCAACGCACATCAGTGAAGGAGAAAAATTACCTGTTTTTAAAATTTTATAATAGAAACAAAGAAACTTTTTTTTTTTTTTTTTTCAAATTTTTGGCAATTTTTTATTTATAGCGCAAAAAGTAAAGCGCCCAGTGGCGATTAAATACCACCAAAAGAAAGCTGATCAAAATTTCATATGGGTACAATGTTGCATGACCGCACAATTGTCAATCAAAGTGCGGCAGCGCTGAAAGCTGAAAATTGGCCTGGTAAATAAGGGGGTATAAGTGCCTGGTAGGCAAGTGGTTAATCAAGGTACGCTGTTCTTCTGAACAATGTCTGGAACGACCCATTTTGCTCAGAATTTCAGAGAGAAATGCATTGTAACCAGCATGTACAACATTTGCTGCCTTCCTTCCTTAAATAAGGGCAATAATTGCCACCTGTTTTTCAAAGAATGAATGACCTCACTAATAGAACTCC